ATGTTTCTATTGATTACTGACTTCATGCTAAGATGAAAATCTAAACCTTTGCACTTTGTATGTGGTATTCCTTCCAGCTGACAAAAAAAATAGAAACATGACCGAAAGCTGGAAAGGGCAAAGCCATCCCAAAACACTCGGGGAGGAGGGGGTGTGTGTGGATTTTAGTAAACATTTGGTTTAGTAAAACCAGAGGTGGAATAGCATCCCCCCAGTGTGCAGTTAGGCAAGTCTTGGTGCTTTGAAGGGTGAAAATCTGAGGTATTTATCTACTGGGTGTAATATTTGCTCTTTGGATGTTTCAGAATGGCTCGATATATACATTGACAACCCATTGTTCTGCAAATACAGAACACACAGATTAGTCTCCTTGTTTGGATAAATGTTTGATTTACTTCTAAGAAAGAGCAGTGTTAGATTCTTGAAGGGGATGACAGTACAAATCTTACCATAGGCCATTATAAAATAAAGTACTTGGAATGAATGCTTCCTCGTCACTTCAAAGCAGACTGGAAGCAAGCTCATACAGTTCAATGACTTTCTAGTCAGCACAGGAGGATGAATTACCTCTGCTGTTCCTGGCAGAGCTTTGTCTAATTTGTATTTAAAAGCTCCGTTGATGAGGATTCCACAACTTGCTGTTTTTCAGTTACCTTACAAGGTTTTTCCTAACACATAACCCAAATCTCCCATACCGAAACTTGAACTTCTTATAGCAGTCATCCTGGACAGGGTGTCCTCTCTGTTTTCCCACATGTTCTTATGTGTCTGAAAATTTTAGGTAATTTTCCAAAGGATCCTGGATCTTTAAAATCTTGCTTCTTTATTCAAGGCCCTGGGAACATAGAAGGTAAGGCATAGGGCTAACAGAGATTTCCAGATCCTTTTTTTACTAAGGAACATGTCCTACCATTTGACATTTTCAGCAGAGAGGCCAAGGACTCAGGGCAGGACAGAGAGTGGCAGATCCCCACCTCTGGAGTTAGATTCAAGAAAGCAGCAGCAAGGCCAAAGCAGTGTTGGGTTTATGGTTGGACTCAATGATCTTGAGGGCCTTTTCTGACCTAATCAATTCTAAGCAGAGTCTGCAGAGATGTACACATCACCCTGCCTGTGTTTTGCCCAGGAGGCAGATAGCTGCAGGCTCAGCTTCTATTGCTGTCAAGGCAGGGATAGCTCATTTGCTATTAAATAGCCTTGACTACAACCTTTTGCCACTTACTATCTGGAAGCAGGAATGCTTAACTGACATCTAATGTAGTATGTGAGCAGATAAGAGTAAAGCTTTGGGAATATGACAGATACCACCAAGAAAACCTCATGTATCTCCTTCAGGTGAAAGCTCACTTTATAAGATATGTTTGCAGACGTCCACATTTCACTCTTAAATATTTAGAATTAAACCCTTATTTCACTGGTCTCACAGCAAGATTTTTACCAGTGACTTAAGAGTTGTATTTCATGCTGCAGCAATATGAATAACAGAGGGTGTTAAACTTTTAAAATGGTATTTTTTGATGTTTCAAAAGATCTCTGTATATATCACACTTTTCTTAGTGTACTATCCTGACAGCATATATGGAGAAGATTCTCAACAATACTTTAAAAACAACAATTTGAAACATCTAAATATTATTTTCAGTGACAGTAACAGATCTGTTTTGTAACAGCTTTAACAACACTCAGATAATTCAAGCAAGAGCTAAATCCTCCATCATAAAATTCCAGCATGAAATCAGTTCAAGATTTAGCAAGTGCTATACCTTAGTCATTTGCTTTGTTATTAGTTTTCCAATATTTTTTTCCTTCTCTACATTACCCTCTATTATTTAGTTATAACTTCCTCCATAATTGCAATCAATGAATACTAATCACTTAATAAACATATCCTGACAGGTCTATTTTTGCACTGGGAAAAGATTCATTTTCTTTATCATCACTCCAGTAAGCAATCTTTCTTCTTTACCTGAAGTAGCAAAGTGAAATATAGTGCCTGGTGTAAAGTTCTGCTCTGCTGCATACAGCATCTGAGCAAGAGCAGACACCACTCCTTGCATTTTTCAATTATCTGGATAGAGATTTATCAAAATCTGTGCAACGTGGAATTTGCATTCTCTGATACTTATATGTAATTCTGTTGGTACACGTGGGTAAAACCTGCTTTGCCCAAACAGCTTGTGAACACTCAGCTAACAGTGGCATTCAGGGAGACTGTTCACAATATTTTTCTTAAAATGCAAGTATTGCAGAGAGAAACTGCATTTTTGTTACATGTTTTGAGCTTAGATACTCAACACTGACACACCAAAGAGTGTGCAATCTGTCATGTCTCTATACAAAGGCCTAATTTGATATGGAGTAAAATATCCTGAGTGAAGTTGGATACCTGCAGGTCACTATAATGATTTCTTTTCTACTGACTTAATATACCACATGAAACTGGTAAAGAAAGACAAAGAAAAGAGAAGTATTTTTGTTTGTATATAGAAACCTGTTTTTTTCCTCACAAATTAGATAATCTTGTTTTCAGTGGGCTTTGCCTGAAGCCACTGAAATCAAAGCAAGTTTTTCTACTGATTGCAGATTTGCATTTCTCATGTTATCTTTTTAGGTGGATACTCCTTAGTGAGTAATTCTGACATTAAATGGTCTGCCAACCTTTCAGCTGAAAGGAAAACCACTGAGGGAAATTTCTACATTAAAATGAGTTTCCATAAACTTTAAGTCCCCTTTAGCTCTTCACACTAAGATTTAAAACATCTTGAGCAATGCATCCTTGCTTCTGATTCACTGTAAGGACAAATTTTCCAGTGGTATCTCCTAGCATTTTTTGTACAAATACTGACCAAAATTACTTTTACCAGCCTTATCCTCCAAACTCTCTCTCTTTCAGCCCCACATAACAGAAACTGGTGGGATCAAACTGAGCTGTCCCTCTGAACTGAACTCCATTTCTGGCATCATGCTCTGTGCTTCTGTAAATGGCCTCACAATCAGGCCTCACGAGATGAGCGTATGGAAATTCCTACCAATTTTTCTGCAGACCCACATTCAGTTTCAAGGAAATCTTTCTAATACATACTAAACAAAAAAAGGCTATGCATATTTTAACCATTTTAGCAGTGTCGCCCTTCCTCTGAAAAGAAGAACTGATAATATGTAACAGTAATGGGGAAAATACTGCTTTCACAGCTCTAAAATTAGACTAAAAATCTCACTTGAGAGTTCACTAGTTGAGCTTGTAATTTTCAGCATTCTTTCAAGGTATCAGTACAAGAACACTTTTTGTGTGCACAGTAATGAAGACTTTAAATGTACTAATTACTTCTAAACATAGGCATATTACTAGGAGATGATAAATCAAAACAAATTTTGTGCAAAGCAGCAACTTTTAAAATAAGCAATTATTACACAACTTAATGCAAAGAAAAATTTATATTCTAGGCATTTTGTGAGGATCAGGGAAGCACTTAACATGAAAACAAAATGCCTGGATTAATCTAGCAGAGATATGTTGATATGATGAAAGTCAGAAAGCAATTGTGAAAAAACACTGCATCTCTGCTGGTCACAAAGTGTTCAGTCATAAAAGCTTTGATTTAAAGCATATTAGCAGAGTGTGGTGGAAGCATGCAGCACCACAGCATCAAAGGATACGCCCCCAAATGATGTACATTTTGGTTTTAATTCTTTCCAATAAAAGCATACTTTTAGTTTCCAACTCATGTGTATTAGAAATGGTTTGTATATCCAGGAAATCAGAGGGGAATGACAAACAAAGACAGTTTGAGGGATGCAGGAATCTCATCATACTTTTAAGCAAAGAAATAACAATTCACTTGTAATAGGACTGTCCCATTAAGGTCCCTGATTGCCATGAAAATCTCAATTGACCTATTCCTTTGTTAAACTTACCACTTTAAGATAGCTAAAACAATATGACCTTGTCTTTGGAGTTACTAGGGTTTTTTTAAGGTATACCTTAATCCTCCAAAAATTCCTTGGAGAAAAATACATTGCGTGAATCTCACATTGTCTCAGGAGCTGGATACTCTTGTTCCAGGTAATTTTGCTCAGACTTCTCAGAAGAAAAGTGATCACTCAGAATTTCCCATTTTTTATTACAGCATAGGGAAAATAACAATGCTCTCCTTTGTTGTCAGTAACTTTACAAAATCATCCAAATACACTACCTGACTGCTTGTAGAGACAAAATGAAGAACTCCATTTAGGAACAGTTAATTCCTCTTCAGAATAGATCTTCAAGCATGGTAATTGAGAGGATAGACCATTGTTGCTTTGTGTAAGTATAACCTTTTTGAACTTCCCAGGCTGACACATCACAGCTGAGCTGCAGCCGTGTTAGTCACGGCACTCTGCGTGAGGCCAGTGCTGTACTGAGCAGCACGCCATTAGGAAAGGGTACAGCAGCATGCTGCCCTACCGACAGGCCCTCTCATGCTGGGACTGTCTATATGCAAACACCATGCCCACTGCCACAGCACAGCACAGGAGAAGGCGAGGGAGCTATTTTTGTTACACCAGGAACACTTATTCCTCCCCAAGTTGACCCCTGCTCTGTGTGGTGATGGTGGTTATGTGTTTTAAATGTGATGTATAATAGCAGGAGAGCACTGATGCATCAGCCCAGGAAATTAAAAAAGATGCCATTCACACAAAGGAATGTTTAGTTAAGTTTGAAAATCTTGGCTCAGATGATACTGTGATGGACCATTTGTTACATCTTTACTTACTAACATTCATTTACTGTGGAATTTGTTCTTGGGTTTTTTTTCTCTGCAAATCAATTTGTTGCTGATTTTAAATGATTCCAAGAGCTTTCTTAATTTCACCCAACACATTTTGAGTCAAAGATGATATTTGAAAGCACTAGGGTCCTTAAAGGAACAGCCTATTACAATACACAACAGTAACTATGTCTCTACGATTTATGAAAAGAAAGCAATATGTGCCTGTTTCGGTGCCTGTCGTTTGCCTACCAATGGTGCAGTGTTCCCCATTCCAGCCCTCTCTGCATTCACATTTCCCATCTTTACAAGTTCCGTGCTCTGTACAACGGGGATGACACACACGCTGGTCACACGCCTCTCCTGTCCACCCTTCTTCACAGCGACATGCTCCACCAATGCATACCCCGTGGGTGCCACAGTCCACGGAGCACACTTCTGGGGGGAGAAAAGAATAAAGGTTACATGGCAATGGGGCAGAAGCAGCAACCTAGTCAAGAAGGAAAAAGAGAACAAGACAGGTATGCTTTTGCTGAAAACCATATGCTGTCAAAAGCTGACTGTTCACATTCTGATTGAAACTGGCATTTAACTTCTGCTTAAAACCAAACTGAATGGTACGAAAAAGTTGTTGCTGGACAGACTGCCGTAAAGCTACATCCCCCATTCAAATGCAAACCTCAAATTCCTCAACACCTGCAGCAGTGAAAAAGGGGAGAACACAGCTCTATTTTACCCAGACCTAGACCTCTGGTAATCTTGACACAGACGCTGATTTGCAAAGAATGAGAGTGAAACTCACCTAAAACTCACTCAGCAGAGAACAGTGACAATTCAGGGTCACCTGGACTCTAGGAGTGACTAGTAAGACACTTTCAAGAAGTGATTTTTGGAATCCTATTGCTAAGAGTCAGATACTCAGTGTCTCACTCCAAAAATTCTTCTACTGCTCTGCCAGCTGAAGTTGTAGAAAAGTAGAGGGGTCTTTTGCCTCATGCATCATCAAAGACATTGACAGTGAAACTCTCATTCATGAATTTTTCTGGCTCCTGATGCAGGAGCCGGAAAAAAACACATCTTGATATTCACTTCACTGGTGGGGTATTCTAAGTTATTAAACTTAAGAAATAACTGAAAAAGTGTGAAAACTGTAAATATTATTTTGAGATACTTGCTTATGCCCTACAGCTCTGTCTCAAGGTTCAGCTTATGATATAAATGGAAAATTCCCAGCAATTTTTTCCCCACAAATAGAACATTCGCTGTCTTGTCAAAACTGTTGGGTATTGGATTATTTTTTTTTCTCTTTAGCTCCTTCTGTCAGAATAATCAAGTTTTACAACTGTAGGTCTGGAGAGGATGAAATTTTTTAGCCTACACTTTTGTGCCTTTTAGAGTCTCTTGCTCTCATATTATTTTCTTAAATAATACATGTACAACTGGGAAGGGAGAAGTATCTCATAGTTGAAAAGAGATTTTTCTGCTTTGTGATGTTTTTCATCAATGAATAGCATTCTGATGCACAGTAAAGCACCCCCAAAAACATACTCAGTTGTAGTGTTATAATGTTATAAACATACTTATAAATTATGGAAGTTTTCTTTACATATAAATATGTAAAATATAAATTACAGAAGTTTTTTCTTTTACAGTTGGGTAAGAGAAGTGAAGCACTTAAGTAGCTTTTTCAGACCTAACGAGAGTCAGTATTAGAATGAAATACAAACTCCTAACCTGCATCCTGCTTGCCCCCCAGCTGGCAGCACCAAATCAAGAGTGTCACAAAAAATAGCATCTAAGATATATACACACTTCTTCCCAACACACTAAACATGACCAAACATGTTCCAAAGACTATGATCTAAATCATGTGCATTTCAAACTCACCACAAATTTTAACAAAATAGGAATATTATTGAAAGGCTGGAGAAGAGAAGGTTTTGGGGAGACCTTATAACAGTCTTACAATACCTAACGGGGGCTACAAGAAAACTGGAGAGGGATATTTTACACGGGCCTGTAGGGACAGAACAGGGGGAATGGCTTTAACCTGCCAGAGAGGAGATTGAGATGAGCTCTTAGGCAGAAGCTCTTCCCTGTGAGGGTGCTGAGGCGCTGGCACAGGGTGCCCAGAGAAGCTGTGGCTGCCCCATCCCTGGCAGTGTTCAAGGCCAGGTTGGACACAGGGGCTTGGAGCAAGCTGCTCTAGTGGAAGGGGTCCCTGCCCATGGCAGGGGTTGGAACTGGGTGAGCTTTAAGGTCCATTCCAATCCAAACCAGGCTGGGATTCTATGAAATCAGGAAAAAATATTGTTCTTACCAACGGAGCAGTCAGGACCCATCCAGTTGGGATCACAGCTACACAGACCTGTGTCAGACAGGTAGGAACCGTGCCCACTGCACTGGTCTGGACACTGGGCTCTGGGAAGCTCGCAATTTATTCCACCCCAGCCTGGGCTGCAGAGACATTCTCCATTCACGCAGACTCCATGGCTGGAGCACGTTGGATCTAAGCAATCAACTACAGAAAAAAACAAAACCAATGTAGGCAAAGGTCAGTTCACACAATATGATGCTTAGAAAACATGTAGATGAATGCTCTGAAAAGTTTATATCCCTGTCATAAATCAAGCAAATTGAGGTAGTTCTTCAAGTCATATTAACACCTGGTCTGAGAATGGGAAAGCACAAAATAGTTTGTGTTTTACATTGGCTCCAGATAAAACAGGGTGTGACTGAACAATGAGACCGTACTTCAGGATTGCTGTAGGGAAGAAGCACAAAGATTTAAAAATAACACTAATATATATATATATATATAATAAGAGTTCCATACATCAGCCTTCACCTGGGGACATTTCTTCTGAAATACACTGACGTTTCAATGACTCATGTACTGTAGCTGAATAACAAAATAAAAACCCCTAAGTGAAGAAATTGCACTTCTTAAAGGATTTGTTTTTGGAGTACCTTCATCAATACTGCTAGCACTACTACTGAAACGCTGGAGCACTGTGAGAATAACATCATGATGTTCACTTTCAGTAGCTAGAAGTCAAAATATCACTGCCTTTCACTTGCATTCAGACTCCTAAATTATTCAGGCACTTCTGCACCTTTGATTCGTGGTCCATTAGTAGCTCAGCTGTGAAACTCAGAGTCCTAGTTACTTCAACCCATATTTTAACCAGCAGCTAATTCCTCTTGAAGAAAAAAAGAAAAACACATATAGATATGGATTTCATCTTTTCTCAGTCCAGAAACAACAGACTAAGAAGGGAATAAATATAGTTATGCTGGAAAATCCTCGAATGAAGTTTCAGTTGCTCCTTTAATCCTGGTAAATAAAGGAATGTTATGAGTTCCACATAAACTTTATCAGTAATGTCATGGTTTTCCAATCTTTTATCTTATATAATAAATTTGTATAAGCATACTATGCTCTACCACAAATACCAACAGAGAGGCTTCAACCAACTGCCTTTTGCTGTGGAATTGAGGGCCAAGGTCAAATTCATGTCCTGAATAAAATGAATTCATCTCATGACTGGTACATATTAGCTCACAACAGAAGGACCAGGAATGATTGGCATGCTCTCTTGCAGCTCCAGGAAGATCTGAGTTTATAATGAAAATGATTTATCTCTCATCTTTTCCAAATTGATCCTTCTAAATTAAGGCAGAGACATTTTCACTCTACCTTATGTGAACAATGCTTGATCTTTCAAATCTCAACTTTTCTATAAACACAGTGTTGTCAAATTATTTTATGTAGTTGCAGAACATTTAAAGTAAGTATATAGATTAGATACACACAGAGGATTGAGGCAAGCACATTTACAGATACAATAACATGAGTTATCAGAATAGTTTTGACTTTAATTCAGACTACACTAGCACAGGAATAAATTACTATAAAATTTTTAGTAAGAGTATCATTTTAATGACCACACTGCCTATAGGATTTTGTTTGATTGGGTTCTTTTTAAGATTTAATGCTTAGTTAATTGGAAATGAAAACATTATAATGCAATTTCATATTTATAGGTAAACCAAGATTGTTTTGTTCTTCAGCCCAGATAACAACTGATAAATTCATAAACTGTTTTAGATTTTTTGGTTTATGATATTTTAAGGGAAAATGTAAAAGGTGAGATACGCATAGCATTGCATGTGGCAGGACAGCTAACTTTAGGAGATACTGATGAGTCCTAATGTACTCTCCATTTCAGAAATGTATTGTCTTCCCAAATGAAAGTACTAATAAAAGCTATGTGGAGAGTATGACAAATACCACCTTCTCCTATGTAAATTAACTGCCTTGCCCCTATCCTGAATTAGCTGTTCCTGCAAAAAAGATTTATTTCCAAAGCCTATCAATACCCCTAAGACCCCAATCTCCCTTGTTTTATAGAATAACATACTACCTAACTTTGTTCTTTGTTCTAGACAAATACGCTTTATGGCTGCTTTATTCTATCATATGGGTAAGTAATAGCTTTCAAAGTTTAAATTGAAGAGAGTTTTTACTTTGAACTCAAATCTTATTCTATTTTAATACATGCTCATAGAGCTATCATCTTGGGCCAGATCCTCAGCTGTTAAAATTAGCATAACGTGATTACCTGCAACAGAACTACACTGCCTTATGCTGCAGAAGTTCTGGCCCTGAGTCTTTAGAAGGGTTTATAATGGTATGTAATAAGGATTTATAAATGGAGCTTCTTTGGTGTTTAAACAAAGGAGAACACGCCTTAGCAAGTAAGTACATTAGACTTAGAACTCATAGCCCCTTGGCAGCTTGGATCATTAGAGCTCATTTAGCATTGGGCTCTCTGTAGGTTTGACAAAAATGGTACTGAAAGCAATTTATATCCCTAAGGACAAAAAAGGAGGTCAAGGAGTTTTCTGAACAATATGTATCATAAAGCCCCCAAAGAGCCATGAATTACACCTACAAAGTTAAATGTCATTGAAAAATGACTTGACCATGAAACTCAGAAGAGAACCACCCTTAACTTCACCTCATTTGGCAATTTCACTTGCCTTCCCCCAAAACAGATTGAATGAAACCTGATAAATACGCCACTTCATCTTGTTTGCAAATTTGTTAATAGAACAACAGTGTTTATGCTGCAAAAATTGTGCATCACAAATATTGACTGTGGTGCCATTTTCATTTCAGGTAAATTGTTTGAACGATATGACCATGATGAATATCAGAAATGAAAAGCTAACGGGAAGAAAAAACATGCTGACCCATTTGTTCTAATTCAATATCCTAGTAGGAAAATGGTGAATAAATCAACTTCTTCAATTCCTTTCGGAAGTTCAAAACAGTAGAGGAGATTTCATATATAATATATATAAATACAGCTATATTTATTTGTATCATTCTGCCATTAGAATGATAGAATTTTAATTTATGCAAAAACTTTTCATAAAGTCCTGGAACTAGAGAGACACCACTTAATGCTATACTTTTTTTCATGTAGCTCTGGAATTAATGTGAGAAATATGTACAGAAGAAATGGAATTTTAGAGTTGATACATGATGGATGTTTTTTGATTTATTTGTAAATTAATGTATTGATTTATGTATTGCCCAATGCTGTATGCAAAAGGTTACTTTAACCTTTCTTTTAATGCTATTGGCCCCTTCTAAGTTTGCAGTCAATCACTCCTGCCTTTGTCATCCTCTTATCTTTTTTTAAAAAACCTCATACTTTCAAGTACAGTGTTGATTAAATAATGTATACCTTTTCACCTCAGATAGCAATTCACCTCTTTCACTGCAAGAGCCTATTTCTCTTACAGGAGTGCTAGAGGATTCAAGATGTCTAGCCCAGATATACCACAGCCATTCTAAACAACTGAAAGCAGAGAGAACTAAAAGTTCCATGCAAGTAGCTGGGAATTAAAATCAAGATGAGGGAGGAATTGCTGACGAGGTAAAATGTACAGAATCAAATGAAAGAAAGACCATTTTAGGCTATCTGCCATAGTCTTTCTAATAATACAAGCATTGATATGACAACACAAAACATGATAAAGTTTATATAATTTAATTAGACTAAGCAAACAATTGCATTTAGTAACAGAAAGAGCTTTTAGGTTCCTTGGGCATAGAGAGTCTTTTCCAACTTAGATTTCAATGAGAATACTAGCTATAGCAAGGCATTTCAGATAATTTTTAGCTATTTCCTATAATCACACACTCAGGGTGAACTGAGAACTCTCAATTCTATCAGGCAAAAGGACATTACAGTATTTTCTGGATACAGCTATAAACGTAACCTATTAAAAACAACAGGAAAACTCTACTGACTTCAACTGAGTTTTGGATTAGGGCTTTAAGAGCCAGTGTTGTGAAGCTTTCCTGGAAGGAGATGACAAGAATGAACCGAAAAACCAGTTGCAGTGTTGGCAACTAGATCCACTAGTGAGGATCCCTGCTTTTTTTTTTTTCCTTTTAGAAAATCAAGTTCACTGAGACTAACGCAAGATCTTGTCCTGCAGTTGATGACTGCAGTCCACACCCAGAGAATACAATCCCTAGTGGTTTAGGTCCCTCTAGTTTTCTTCCCTTTGTTTTCTGATGGGAGAAACAGCTGTTTACTATAGGATAGGATGAAAATTGATACACACGGTGCACAGCTCTGCATCCCACTCAGAATACTCCAGAGAGACTCTTTAGTCCTAAAACAGTGCAGTCCTCAAGCTATCACTTCGAGCTATAAAGTCCTATCACTTTAGTCCTCAAGCTGCTCTGTCTTTTGGAGAATTAATAAGCTCTGGAATGTCATCATAAAGCAGCCTGAACTATTCCTGCTCTGAGGATGTTCCAAGGTATGCTGAACTGTCTATTTAACAATTGGCTGGGGAGTTAAATTCCCCTTTAAAACCATAGTAATATATTTTTAAAAGAAAAGCAATCCAATTTATGTTGCGCATTTTAACACAAACCACTGTGAATAAAAACAATATTGAGCTTAATCTACAACCACATTTGCATGGGTTATTTTGTTAAATTTGCTCATTCTACATACACAAGGAATTGGACACTTTCAGCATGAAGAGCTTTTCTGCATTTAAAGGACACATTGGTTTTGTGCACAATCTCCCTTTCTTTAATCCCATATGACTACAGCTAACAGGAGTAATTTGCCCTACACTAAGTCTAAGTAACATGAATACTTAAGTCTTTGAAATTTGTTTCATCAACTTCTGCATTAATAGTGACTGATACGTTTGTGTGGAGCTGCAGCTATACATTCTGTCTATCACTGCTATTTATTCCTCTGCATTTCACTTCTAGATTGTTCAATAAATATAATCCATAAGAAAAGATTTATCTTCACTCTTCAGCAAAGGGATTATTCAGGTTTACTTGTGGCAGACATTCTTAATACTGCAAAACAATGTATACAGAAGGCCAGAAGTGTTGTCTGAGCTTTGATCAGTAAAATTGTGAAGGACTTCAATTTTACCCTCTTATACAGTAATCTCCTACACTACTTTTACATTAAAATTTTTATTCTGTTCTTTGATTTTTTATACCCATTAAACAACTCCAAAGCCTACAAAACAAACTCAGAGCAAGGGAAGAAAATGCCCTACCTTCTTCACAGTTTTCTCCTTTATAGCCAACTGAACAGACACAGTTCCCATCGATGCAGGAACCATGACCTCCACATGAGGGATCAATACATTGGCTGATGGGTACATCACATTCTGGACCTTTCCAGCCACTGTAGCATAGGCAGGTGCCTTTAGAGTACTGACCATTGCCACTGCACAGAACTGGGCAAGCAGCTGGAAAGAAAGGAAAGAAAAACAGCATACAGGGTCATACATGTACTCACGTAAATGTACACTAGAAATCCACTATCAAATACTTATACAGATATTTAAATATATTCATTTATGGGGGGGGAGGGGGGGGGAATCTAGGCTAAGTTGTGGTAGTTCAGTTCTTCATTTCCCAAAGGAATTATTGATTAGTATTTAATAAAACACACATTGGGCATCCTGAGAATAAAATTACTATTCTTCATAGACTAGTGATGATGTTTGGGATAAATAATGAGAGAATGTGAACAGACTTAAGTCTGACATTACTCTGCGTTGTTCCACTAGATAACATCCAATTTTCACAGAAAGCAGAACACAAAGCATTCAGCCCCCAAAACATTTGATAATGTACCATCTTTCTCCTTCCATAACACTTTTTTAATGTAATGTTCCCAAAATTTTTTAGACCCTTTGACATGTTATTTTTCAGTGTAAGGGTCTTGAGCACAGGAATAACACAAGCGTTCATCTACAGCAAATGCACCTTGCCACTAATATCCCTGCTGAATCTTGTTTTCCCAAATCCCAGGGTGACTGCTTTTACCCTGTGTGTACTGGCAAAAAAGCACCATTAACCCTTATCACTCCCTCTTGTATTATTAAGGGGGCAAGACACATTCTGAGCAAATATTCATTTATGCAAATGAAGTAAAGACTATGAATACTAAAGGTAGTCACAGGTCTTGGTGCCAGGAATCATGTTGTAAATATGCAGAGTAATGGAACGAAACAAGTGGTTTATTAAAAGTCAGTTGCACGTAAATGTTACGCTAAGGCATATTCACACTCCCAAATGCCCATGTCTCCCACGTGAACAAGGCAACCTGTGAATTTATATGCCTGCCAAAGACTGAATGTGTGGTTATAAGTCAGAGAAATGAAAAAAAAACACAACAGAGGAATAACAGAAAATGGGAGCAATGAAGTGAATCTTTGAGAAAAGGTACGCTTTTGTGCTCTTCTCTCTGATGCAGTTTGATAAAGATAGTATTTCCCTGTATTTTCACCCTCCATAGTAATCAGAAACTAACACCAAGTTTTACAATGCCAAAAATACACTCAAAAGCTACTATCAATCATTGAAAGGTCCTAATGTCTTCTTGCTTCTATTATCCCTTTAACCTGAATGATCAAGAAGAACCCGAGTAATGGATTTCCTACAAGAAAATGTGTAATTGTCCAGTTATACAACTTCTCCACTTTTCAGTTCTGTAACTCTCATTAATCTTCGCTGTCCCACTGATCTGCTGCAAAAACACATTTCAGAATAGAGTTTTCCAAGATTTTTCTTATTTGAAATGGGAAAAAAAAGATCAGAAAAAAGTAAGCTCAGACTTGAAACCTGAATTAAAATTTAGAGTGCTGAGAATTATTTCGGTTAAGACTACAGGTTGATGGGATAGATGTCGCATGCATAACCTTTTTTGGCCTACTTTTTACAGTAGAATAATAACAAAATCAGTGTGCTAATATCTGGGGTTTAGTTGCTACCCTCATCTCTCTTAGGGACATATTATCCATCCTTTGGTAGGATGGATATAATATATAGTCCCCAATAGGACTTCATTCTTCTTCATTCCTGTCGTCCTCTCTTACTGTAAGCCTTGTTCAGTCTTTTTATTCCTCACTCAAAAAATGAATACAAACCTGAATAAAATATAATTTCCAACAGCAGTGTTGTGACTTCAGCTGTGACATATGTTCACAAGTGCTTTATTGAATTCAGCGAAAAATTTATGCTAAAGTTCTACCAGTTTGGCTTCTTGCAGCTGGTTCACGTCATCACCAAACACCCTTTCATGACATACAACATGATGAACTAGTAGCAGCTCAAATGCCATGTGACTAACTATTCCTTCTGTCTAAACGCATTACATCATGGAGACTATCCTGCACTGCTTTTCACTGCCTAGATATGTTGACTGCTGCTACTGTCGGTCATATAGTTGAGCCATAAAGGGATCAAACCTTCAAGTATGAAGACCTGGTGGCACAAACAATTCCTTTGTCCCTATTCTCCATTTCACTGCAATTAGAAGTCTTGCTTGGGCTGAAATTGATACATTTTCCCAAAGCACTGTAAGAAAGGTAATCACTTCAGTCCCACTCTCTTTACGTGCCATGGTGTAGACGACCTGGAGGTGAGTGATCGGAAGGCAGCTTCTCCTGGAGACCTGCAGCAGTCATGAGTGGCAAGTTTCTTGATGCCACCTTCCATGCCCTGACACACTGTAGAGACACTGTCCCTTTATCTGGGTCTCATCTCGATACAAAATTATCTCTCTCTAGAATAAGGCACCTCCCAGCTTCTGTATGTGGTGGTCAAGCTTGCAGTCCCTTTGTTCAAAGGGTCCCATGGAAGGAAGTAATGTTCTTAGATGCAAATTCTCTACATGCTTCCAAACCGTTGCAGAGACTCAATGTTATCCTTTTTAATGGTTGCTCAGTGTGGATTCTCCGAGTGCACCGGGACAAGCCAGCATATGACTTGCTTTTGCCTATAAACTTCCTCACCATACTGTCATAAAGCTGCATAGAAAGAGAAGGTCCCAAGAAAGCTAACTGAATCAGTAGACTGTAGACTGTTTCTTCAAACAACATTTGTTCAAGTAGCTATAAAGACAAAAAGCTAGAGTTCACTCACAAGCTGGATACAAATGAGAAATAGCTTTTTTTGCTTTGTTGCTTTACAGGTCAATATGGCACTCAACTCCTGAAAGAACCCCTGTTCTGCAAACCTCTCCTCTGGAGTTAAAACTCAGACAAAAGCAGTAACTCTATTTGAACATCACAGCCCCCTGAAAGAGGGACTGAGCAGAAATAAATCCATTATTAAAATAAATATAAAACCAAAAGCAAAAAAGCCCAAGCAACTTTGACACGACCAGCCTAGACCTAGCTAGATAATACAGTGCCAACCACCTGCTGTAAGATAGCTGCTCTCCTTGCCTTGCCCCTAAGTCTCATTAAGCAGTCAGCAATTGTGGTCCAGCTAACAGATATGTATGTTTGTTATCTGGAACTTGTCTATAGGATAGCCATTCTTAGCTCCCACTTTTGATCTGCATTTGCTGGGTTCAGTTTCTGGAACACCAGAGACTGGCACAGCAGAAGGATTTACTAGATGGTGCTGGCTCTTGGGCTAAACAGCTCCCACAGTAGTTTTTTTCAGTGTTCCTTTACTCTGCTACAGTGCTTTAGGAATTTAAGTAAAGCTGGAAGCCATGTTCATTCCTCTCTTCATGCTTCTCCCAGGTCAGAGGTCTTGCTATGGTTCATAAATCTGTTCAGTCCTTGTGAAGCTTGTATGTAGGTTGAACAGTAATCTGCTGCCTTCAGTAGTCTGCCACTGCAGTATGCATTGCCAATATATGACACCAGAACTGACTTTGGACAAATGAAAGAACCTGTCATTTAACCTCTGGGATGAAATGAACGCAGTAAATGTTAACACACTTGCAACCTAAAGCCACAAAGTTTAATCTACAATCCTCTACCGGGGTTATTCTACAAGCTACATAACAGCAATACCACTTTTAGAATAAGAAAAATGACAGAGGTTCTCAGTCAGATTTTGGTATTTCCAAGACTATCACTAGGACTGCAGAAGAAACATAGAAGCAAGAACGCAAGCAAGTGTAGCTTAAAAGAAGCTGGCAAGCTACTGCTGTAATAAATTGTTCTTCATTAATCTTTCTGCTATGGGTTTATAGGCTGTCTTCAGTGAGTAACAGAATCAAGCTGCTCTTCCATAGAAAACAGAGCAGCTCATCTAAAAGAGGTCTGCTATGCTTATTCATCAGACCTTATTGCTGCAGGGTGAGACACAAACCAGCCCACTCTAATTTTGTATCCAGGTGGTTTCAGTTAATGTGCAAACAACTGAGTCATCTGGGGTTCCTGACTGCTTATTTTCCCTGTGTTAAGCAGATGGCCCCTACTCCAGGACAGAACTGACTGTTAAAAGTCTGTAGAAGGAATGAAGAAAGATCGCTTGAAGTAATGGAACAATCAAGCTCCATCTCATTTCTGTGGGTAGAGAGGTTGCACAAAGACAACCGTGTATCACACACCAGCACTGCCAAAAAGTGGATAGATGTCTTCAGGAGTAGTTATGGCAACACTAAAGCAAGTTAAGAACAAGTGTGTATCTCCTGGGTGAAGTCTGAATAAGCAAAAACCCTAAATGTGGTTTTGGTGATGTGATTCTGCCCTTACTGATACTTGAACAAAACAGACAATGTTCTTAACACAGGTCTCAGCTGACCAGTGAATACTACAGACCTTTAAGACCTGTAGGCTGCACACATGTAGGAGCATGAATTAAGTGGGAAAGATCACCCAAACATCCCTCTAAAAGTTGTCTGTCTGTCTTTGGATAGTTATTTCAGAGTAACGTTAATATTCCCTGATGCATGAGAAAAGGTGATTTGATAACAGCCTGTTACACATGGACTAGGAGGGGAAATGGTAAGGGATAATGCCCAAATGGTCTGGCATCAAAAGCCACCATTTGCCCAGTGATGCTCGACACATAGGTATCCCAGCTGCAGTCTGTGTACACACTCCTTTCACCCACCCTTACGGTTTTCACACGTACATACTCACCAGAGGTGTTCTTCTAGAGCATGGCAAGAAACCAGTAAAGGATATCTGAGGAGTCAAACTCTTGGAGGCGGTTGCAGAACTTGGTTTAGTTACACAGCTGCTTGGTTGAGAGACCTTCCCCTGCTACTTGAAGTTCCAAACAGGATTTGAAGACAGACTTCAGGCTTGGTTCCTCTTGCTGTAGAGCAAACATTACCCTGGTGCAGAGAGAGTCCTGCACTACTAGGATCTAGGCTGTCGGTTCTCTACTGCAAACTTTTTTCAGTTCCTCTTCATAAAATAGACAAACTGGTATACTTCTCTTGAAAGTTATTTGAGTTTCTGGGCACAAAAATATGCAGATTTGAAAGGTT